AATCATGTGTTCCCACCAATGTAGCTCAGCTGGAGACAAACTCTACGTCAAGTCATACATAAATTACGATATTCTTTTTCATTTGACCACTAAACACTGCTGTGACACTGATAAGCTAACAAAAAACCATCATGGATTTCGGTAGAGAAAATAATAATTCCCGTCTCATTCTGATTGATTACCAGGCACAACAAAGGTCATAATGTTGAACAATGGAGAAGTTTTTCACCAGTCCTCTATCTCCTAACGTTGTTTCACTGCCTGATGAATTAGACCTGTAGGTAGAGGTTAAAGACTCGTACAGTGGTCTTGTAAGGTAACCAACCACCTACTTCGTTTTTGGAACTTTAGGCCCAAAGCACAAATTCAATTATTGAGATTGATTCACTGAGAATTTATTATTATATTTTTAATGGTAAAGATCTTCTTTTTAAGTTCACTACTCATACTGTGTTTAAACATCTTTTATTTTGTCGGAAAATGTTACTAACTTACACCTGTTACCACTCGTGATGATGCATAGGCTACCGACTAGCATTCGCTACGCTACTCTGTCCTGGACCTTCCTTTCCAGTTTCGTCCAAATTCTGTTCATTCTTTTCATATCTGCCTCCGGTTTTCGGCGTAATATGTTCTTTGATCTTCCTATTTTCTCTTGGCCTTGAGGATTCCAAGTGAGGGCTTACCTTGTGACTTATCTGGGTGCTTTCCTCATTGTGTGTCCTATCCACTTTCAGCGTCTTTTCCCGATTTCCTCCTCCACTGTAATGTGGATTTTTCTCTCCCACATAAGGTTGTTGCTGATGGTGTCTAGCCAATGGATCCGTAGTATTTTGCGCAGACAACTGTTAATAAACACTTATATCTTATGGATGATGGCCTTCGTGGTTTTCCAAGTTTCCACCCCACATAGTAGAACTGTTTTGACGTTTGTGTCGAAAATTGTGACTTTGGTATCGGTTGATAGTTGTTTTGAGTTCGAGATGTTCTTCAATTGTAGAAATGCTGCGCTTGTTTTTCTGAACGGCGCCTTCACATCTGCATCAGATCCACCTTGTTTATCAATGATGTTGCCCTGATATGTAGCTGTTTCAAATTCTTCCAAAGCTTTCTCCGTTAAGTGTGATTTTGTTGGTTCATACATATTGTGTTTTACCGGAGGATCGTGCTTTACCTATGTGTATGTTGAGACCTACTGGTGCTACACTGGTACTCTTCTGCATTTGTTTTTGCGTGGCTGGTAGAAGAGCTAGATCATCTACGAATTCCACATCGTCCAGCTGCATTTGAGCTTTCCACTATATCCTGTGTTTCCCCCCATATTCTATTTAAACAAGTTTCTTTTATAGAGTTAAAAAAAATGTTACATTGAGTTAAAAAACTAGTCTTTCTAGGCTTTTTAAAAAATGTTATAATAATTCATTATTTTATTTCACTTGAAGTAATGTAAGAATTGTGTGTTAATGATTGTTGGCCCTCTCAAAGTTGCAACACATTAAAGTTGAACTTGCTCTTCCGCGTATCGCCCCTTTTGGGGGCAGTTGGGGACTTACTTTCCTTCAAGCTAACGCAAACAGTCTGGCTCTGCGCCTAATTTATCTAAACTCTGTAAAGCTAAACGTGACAGTGTATTTAGAGAAGTTTCTCTTTGGAACTGTCTGAATTCTGTATAGATAGGATCATTAAATCTAGTCGGAGCTGGTCAGAGTGGTGAAGATAAACCGTGCAGTTACCGGTGCGCAGAGATTGACACAACACGTATTGTGGTATGAGCGTGAAAAAGTATGTCTTCAACTGATAACCTATTTTTGCTAATCTTATTTGATTGCTTGATAACTAGTCAGTACAACAGATACCGCTGAACTACGGCCCTGAGTAAACTCACATTAGTGGCCGCATACATCCATCTGTACTACATGTGCATATAAAGTATATTTAGGAGAAGCTTCCACGTTTCATACTGAGAGTATTATTCATTACTGCTCATCAGTGTCTTAGGTTGTCGCTAAAAGCTTCTAAATATGGTAAGATGGATAACCATATTGAGGTAGATTGGCACAAATTCTATCTGCTCCACCTTCTGAAGGTCATAGTGAATACTTATATTCAACTCTTTTGCCTTGATTTTAAGAGTTCTCATATTTTGAAAATTAGAACAACATAAATGTATATCGAAACAATTAGATTTTCATTAGGCTTTACTCTAAGGTTATAATAATACCTATAATTAGTTACTTACACCTATTACCCCCCAATGGAACATAGGCCACCGACCAGCATACTTACTAATGATTGCTATGGTTGTCAGCAGGGGCAACAGTCTTGTGACTTCCAAAGAAACTGGACTCATCATGAAACGTCATAACTCTCCTAAATGAAAGATCTTCTAACTTCAAGAACAGAGTTGAAATGCTTTGAATTAAGCAATGCTGTTGTTAGTAAGCGAGTACTGGGTAAGGATGGCATATCAATAGGTGAAGTGATGAAACTTCATCAGCTGAGGTGGTTGGGACATATGTTACGTATGGCTAACCATCGACTGCCTCGACGAGCTATGTTTTGTGGTGTAGGAATAGGTTGGAAGAAAGTTAGGGGCGGCCAAACTAAAACATGGCAGAAATCCATGAAGTCACTGACAAGTGGACTGAGTCATGTTGGTGGGTGTCGACTACCTGGTTGGGGTCCGCGAGATGATAGTAACTAATGTTTAGACTTTAAACGACATGGCTCAAAATCGTTTGCGATGGCTCAAGTGCATCCATTTTTTGAGCTCTCTCAAATCCTAATCTTCTAGATTTGTCAACACCTCTACCTTTGTCTTTCTAACCTTATCTCACTGAACTATACTTCTTAAATATCTTCAAACCCTAGTCTTCTTCATTACCATTAATACCTTTACTACCTCTTCTACTATTGGATTTGAATTGACAATTATATCTCTGTGCTGATGTGGTATGGCAACATGAACTGATGTACTTACGTACGAAATTCTACGTTGCAACTGACTGCTTTGAATTTATTCTAGTTAGCTTTTTTTTACAGGATAAGGATCACTGACCTCATGCCCAACCCTACTCCTTTATCCCCAAACTTGAAAGGGACTTGAAAAGGACAGTAGTAACCCGAGAGGGTCTCCAAGCGGACATTTATAGTGCATATATGATATTGTTAAAACGAATCAGAACAGTCAGTCTATGAATCATGAGTGATAATAGTTGAATTAAAAGTGTAAATTGATAATTATCTCATGACAAAGTGTACTAGTTGTGATCTGATTAGTTATAGACTTCAATTAATATTTCGTAATGTGGAGTATTGGTTAAACGAATTTTAAAGCTAGACACTGGAAATAGTATTCATCAGAAATATAAATTACATAATAATAAGAAATGTTCAACTCAAAGACTTGATTTTCTTAGTGTGAATCCCTGTAGCTTATGTTATGCTTAAGAGACGAGACCTTGCAACCTATACGATAAATTACTTGAAATGATTCATGTCTCTCCTGTACTCTACGACCACGCTATGTCAGTCAGTCAGTTACAACATAGAACTTTGTACGTACGTACATAAGTTCATGTTTCTTTAACACATGAACACAGAGACGCCACTATCAGTTCAAATCTCATAGTGATAGAAGTATTAGCAGTAACGGAGAAGATTAGAGTTTGAAAATATTATTCAATAAGTATAATTCAGTGAGACAATTTTAGAAAGAGAAAGGTAAAAGTGATGAGCAATTCAAAAGATTAGTATTTCAGAGAACACGAAGAGTATGTGCACCTGCACCATTGCAACTAATTTTGAGCCATGTCATTCAAAGTCTCTATCCACCGGTTACTATCATCTCGCGGACCCCAACCAGGTAGTCTACATCTACCAACATGACTCATTCCACTTGTCAATGATTTCATGGATTTCTGCCATGTTTTAGTTTTGCCGCCCCTAGCTTTTTTTCAACCTACTCCTACACCACAAAAACATTAGCTCGACAAGGCAGTCGTTGATTGGGCATACGCAACACATATCCTAACAGATCACAACACCATATTTTGATGAATAGCCTTTAATAACCACAAAGGGAACTATTCGCCTTATTCGTCTCTAGCTAGCTCATCTAGCTTCACACGAACAACTAAATTCGTGAATATGGCGAATTCAGTTTAGGTCAATTTTAACAACTATTTATATCATTGATCTACATAAAACCGTGTGTTTTATGTATACTTACTCGGCTTACTCACTATTCTCCAATCGATCCGCCTGGCAATGGTAGCACCTAAAACGACTTATATTCTATCCAATCTATAGCTCGATTAGGGCCATCACGAATAGACAAATTCTAACCATCATGTCAAGATAACATCAACCGTTGAATTCATTTACAGTATGAGGGTCACTAACCCCATGCTTGAACCTCCTTCTTTACCCGTGCTTAGGAACGGCAGTAGCAACCTGTACTATACGACCACGCTATGTTTTGATGATTAATCTTACCTAATCACAAAGGGAAGTATTCACTAATTCGTCTTTAGCTCAGCTAGATGTGTTATACACCTAACATAACTTTCTCCACCAGAGCAGCTAAATTCATGAATGTGGCAAAATCAGTTTTTGTCAATTTAACAACTATCATTATTATTATTATTATTATTATTATTATTATTATTATTATTATTATTATTATTATCACTGATCCTACCTACATAAAGCTTGTGTTATGTGTATACTTACTTGACTGACTTACTATTCTCCAATCAATCCACCTTAAATGACTTATATTCCATCTAATCCATAGTTCGGTCAGGGCCATCACGAGTAGGCTAACCCCTAGCCCTAAGCATCACGTCAAGGTAGCAGCTACCGTTGAATTCATTCCCTATGAATATATCATAGCTTGGTTTTAATCATCCCCATTTTTTTTTTACGTATTTCAATTCTTAATCATCAATTCAACTACATTTCTTATTTTTCTTTGCTTGTCTATTTCTCACTTATAGTGTACACAGAAAGGAGCATTCAATTTTGGTTTCTTATCCCTAGATGACTACTACCATTCGTGTAAGTTTTTTTTTGGGTTTTTTTTGTTCTTCTCTGTTTTTATTTTTCTTTTTCGTTACACATTCTATTCATCAATGACTTGAATATTATTATCATGAGAAGGTGCCATGGAGTCGAGGCAGTGGATGGATGGCGACACACCTTTGACGAGTCTCACTCATACTAGGACGAAACCGCTATCCAATGCTCCTTCGGTTTCTTCTCATGATGATGATGATTTCTATTAGTTATTACACATTTGAAATCATCAATCAATCATTGTTAGACCACCATTATTAGAAACCTGGAAGCACTGAAAGACGGCCGTTTCGTCCTGGTATGGGACTCATCAGTGGCGGTGCGCATCCACGACTCCTGCCACTCGCAGGATTCGAACCTGGGACCTTCGGTATTGTGCGTGAACGACTAACCATTAGACCACTGGGCCGGCGTCCAACGGTGTTATAATGTCTAACTCTGATTGATCTAGGGATTTTGCGCGACCTCACCCATTTGTCTTTGGTGGTTACTGCCTACACCCGACAGGGTTGAACTCCTCCACTGGTCACGTCTTCTCTCACTAGAACTCCGAGAATTTCCTCACTAGTGAGCACTGTTACGATATTTTGGGGCAGAGTTTTTTGGAGGTTTGTGTTTTTACACATTTGAAATCATCAATCAATCAATCATTGTTAATTAGTTAGTTATTTTGTTCATTTTTTGCGTGGAATATAATTTGCTTCTACAGTGTTCATATTATTTTGTTCCGTGGTAACATCTCTGTGTCTTGTCTTGTCTTGTCTTCGACCTATTGTTACAGGATGCTGACAGTGTGGGATCAGTGATTAAGATGGTTGGGACATGTGTTATGTATGCCTGACGACTAACTGCCTAGACGAGCAATAGTTTGTAATGTTTGGGGGTAGGTTAGGAGAAAGCTAGGGGCAGCCAAACCAAATCATGGTACCAATCCATGAAGTAACTGACTGCTGGACTAGGCCATGTTACTTGGTGTATATTACCTGGTTAGGGTCCGTGAGACCACAGTAACTGATGATTAGAGTCTTTGCTCGAAATCATTTGCAATGGCGCAGGTGCATCCATTCTTTGTCTTCCCAACAAATACTAAGCATCTGAATTCCTCATGACATTTTTTCGCTTTTCAAATTTACCTCACTGAATTATACTTCTCTAGTGATATGTTCGATCCCTAATACTTCTACCATCTCAACTACAACTATGGGATTTGAATTGACAATCCAATCTCTCTGTGTTCTAATATGATAAGGCAACTTGAACGGATGTATGTACACGTACCAAGGTCTACGTTGTAACTGACTGACAGAACAGTGACCTTCCATTTAGCGGTTGTCAATTAGGGGATACACCTCACTCTTAGTGCATCTCGTTGTATGTTTATATTTGTTTCGTCCACTTGTTTTCACCATCTTTAAACTAAAATATACTATTTCCATGCTGATTCAGTTTCTTTTTTCTGTTATCTTTTGAATTTCACCAATAACACATTTGTTTTTCATACTATAAAACCTTGAGTAGTACACAGCTGACAATCGCCATCGACTCACCACTCTACTAGCATCTCATTTCTCTCTGACTTTTTATGTCTAGAGGTCAGCAATTAGCCTCAAACAAATGTAGTGTAGTGCATATATATATACATATACAAACAGATCAAACCTAATCATACTGTAAATAAAAATGGGTCAGAAACTGTCTGTAATGAGAGGAGACTGTAAATGATGATCGGAAAGGTAAATTCATATAATGTTAGTTGATGAGTTAAACGAATGCCTGTAACAAAAGGGTTATTATACATATTTACTCGATAAATTAGTCTTGATGTACTATTCGAAGTGTAGTCAAGGCCGAATGGAATAAATGTATATATGTATATGTTTGTTGAGAATACAGTTTATTTACAAAATATGTCTGCCTAATCTCCAGACATCCATTTTGCAGTACTAACAGGTTATTGTCTGTCTTTTTTTCACATCTCCCCTGATCTTCAACATACTCTGTTTGTGCTATGTATATCGATATCCAAAAAAAATCCTGTTTCCAGTAACACTCAGTCAGTTAGTAAGCGACAACTTAAACTTTGACACGTACGTACGTACATTAGAGTTTAAGTTGGCATACCATATTAGCACGCAGAGAGATTGAATTGTCAATTCAAATCCCATAGTAGTAGTGTAGTGAAGGAGAACACAAGTGAGGGCAACCGAATTGTATTTAACGAAAATTACAGAGTTACTCAGTAAAATAGGAAAACCATATCGTAAACGGTTAATTTGCAAATCTTCAATCCATCATCAATCCATTGTCTGACATTTCACTATTCATGATGCGTTTCATACAAATTCCATTGTGTTCCCACTCTTCCTTTCTTGATCTTCCCCCATTTTCTGCTGCCAGACATTACGTTCACACTCACGTCTTATACTACTTATGAGTAGCGCGCACCACAGTAGTAGTAGTAGTAGTAATAGTAGTAGTAGAGGTAGTAGAAGTATTAGCAGTAATCGGAGAGATTAGGATTTGAAGATAAGATTCGAGAAGGATAATTTAGTGAAATACATTTAGAACGAGAAAAGAGGCCATGAGGTCGGTCATGCATGGACTCTTTATAGGAAATTTCCAACGTTTTAACTCCACTCTTCTGATGGTCTTACCGTCGGTGATGGAAACCCGTGGGGTAAGGTAACGTGTGACATTTTTAGTGTCGACTTTCGCCAACCCCTTTCTTCCTTGTGATAAGATAGCATCGCTGAAGATGCTGGTTGTCTGAGGAGAACACCTTACTTCTGTCACGCCTCTACAATCAACAGTACGACTTCGCCCTCAGACTTTAAGTTGCTGCTTTTAGTATAATCCAGTAAAACCAATTTGAGAGGACAAAGATAAAGGTGATGAAGAATTTAAAAGATTATTAGAATTTGAGAGAACACAAACAATAGATACATCTGAGCCATTGCTCTAGGTGACTCTTTGTTATATACTACTTATATGCTACTTTAAATGAATAGTATCCAGTATACTGGAAATTATCATTCTTTTAATATTCATACTGTGATTTAACAATTTCCTGTTTTCAGTAAAAAATTACTAAGTTTAGAATAACTAAACAATTCCGCAATTATTTATCTATAATTTTACTTATTTACTTACTTACGTCTGTTACCCCCAATGGAACATAGGCTGCCCACCAGTTTTCTCCAACCAACTCTGTCCTGGGGTTCCTTCTCCAGTTCTGTCCAATGTTTGTTCATTCCTGTCGTATCTTTCTCTATTTCTTGGCGTAATGTGTCCCTTGGCCTTCCTCTTTTCATCTGACCTTGAGGGTTCCAAGTGAGGTTTTGTCTCGTGACGCATTTAGGTGCTTTTCGCAATGTGTGTCCTACCCACTTCCACCGCTTCTTCCTGATTCCCTCCTCCACTGGAATCTGGTTTGTTTTCTCCCACAGTAGGTTGTTCCTGATAGTGTTTGGCCAACGAATCCGAAGTATTTTGTGTAGACAACTGTTAATAAACAGTTGTATCTTCTGGATGATGGCCATGCCATGAAAAACTTGGCAGAGAAAATTCATCGTTATTATCAGTCAGAGCCATCAAACGACGTAAACCTCGGTATGTACGTACATCAGAGTTCAAGTTGCCATATCAAATGAACACACAGATAGATCGAACTGTCAGTAGTAGAAGTATTAACATTAGTGGAGAAGATTAGTGTTTAAAGATATCAATTCGAGAAATATAATTCAGTGGCTCAGCTGGCTCGCTTATTGACTTAGAATATGCCGATGACATAGTCCTACTTGGTGAAGACGCTGACAAAATGCAGAGTCTTCTGACTACCCTAAGCAACAATGCAAGCATGTTCGGGATGCGGTTTTCCCCGTCGAAATGTGAAATGTTGCTTCAAGATTGGGTCTCATCGGCACCTGAATTAGTGATAGGGAGTGAAGTATTCGAACGTGTAAACCGCTTCACTTACCTTGGGAGTCTCATCAGTGCCGATGGCCTGGTGACTGACGAAATCTCAGCTCGGATACAGAAGGCTCGATTGGATTTTGCTAACCTGCGTCACTTATGGAGTAGGCGACATATGATAACTAAAGGAGGAGTGTACTGTGCAGTAGTTCGCTCCGTCTTACTTCATGCCTGTGAAACATGGCCAGTGGGAGTAGAAGATATTCGTAGGTTACTAGTTTCCGATCATACATGTCTTCGAAGCATTGCTCGTGTATCCTGGGACAACTGAGGTGCTAGGTAAGAATGGCAGATCAATAGATGAAGTGGTGAAACTTCATCATTTGAGGTGGTTTGGACATGTGTTACGAATTCCTAACCACCGACTGCCTTGACGAGCTTTGTTTTGTAGTGTGGGAATGGGTTGGAAGAAAGTTAGGGGCGGCCAAACAAAAACATGGCAGCAATCCATGAAGTCATTGACGAGTGGACTTAGCCATGTCTGTAATTGTCGACTACCTGGTTGTGGTCCGCGAGATGATAATAATCGATGGTTAGAGACGCTGAATGTTCTATGAAATCCTTATCTTCTGGATTCTTCAACCCCTCTAGTTTTGACTTTCTAAACTTATCTCTCTGAATCATACCTCTTGAATAATATCTTCTAATTCTAACCTCTCCGATTACTTCTAATACCTTTACTACCTCTTCTACTATTGGATTTGAATTGACAATTATATCTCTGTGCTGATGTTGTATGGCAACTTGAACTGATGTACATACGTACGAAGTTCTACGTTGCATTTGACTGACTGACTGACTGAATTCAGTGCAGTAAATTTAAAAAGAGAAAAAATTGGTCATGAAGAATTCAGAAGATTAGAATTTGACAGCACCTGCGCCATTTCACTTAATTTTGAGCCATATTTTACAAATTCTGTAACCATTGGTTACGATTGTCTGGTGGACACAGACCCCAACCATGTCGGTAGTCTACATCAAACTAACATAACCGTCAGTTCAATTGTCAA